TTGTTGGTGTATAGAAATGTGGTTGAGTTTTGTATATTTACTTTGTGTTTAGCCTCCTTGCTAAAGAACTTCTTAATTTTAGGGTTTTTAAATTCTTTTTAAGAATAGATTCCTTAGGATTTTCTAGGTAGTCAGTCATGCTGTCAGCAAATAGGGATTGCTTTCATTCTTTCTTCCTAATCTATATGCTTTTCATTTCCTTCTGTTGCCTTCCTGTGCTAGCTGGAACTCCCAGTGCTGTGTGGACGAAGAGTAACGAGAGCCGACCTCACAGGCTTGTTTCCACTCTCGGGGAAAAGGCATCCAGTCTTCTACCATTAAGTGTAATGCTAGCTGGAAGGTTCTGTAGAGCTTCCACCAAGTTGAAAATGTTTCCTTTGGCCCTGTATTTCTAAGAGCTTCTTTGTTTTAGAATCATGAATAGGCTCACTTTTGTAAATATGATTTCCTACATCAACCTTATAGGATTCTGGGGTTTTTTTCTTCAGCCTGTTGATATGATGGATTACACTGATAAAATGTAAAATATTGAGCCCATTTGCAAATTGCATCTCTGGGATAGACCCTACTTGGTCATGGTGTATAATTATTTTGGGGAATTGCTGAATTCTAATTGCTTATATTTTGTTAAAGATTTTTGTTGATAAATTCATGAGAGAGATTGATCTGTCAAAGTTTTCTTGTCATGCGCAGTCTTTATTTTTTGGATTTTGATGTCAGAGTAACACTACGTGAATTGTGAGATGAACCTCTTGCTGCGGATTCTTCTTTCTGCAGTTGGTACAATTCTCCAGTGAAAACATCTGGGCCCGGCGACTTCTTGTTGAGAATTTTGAAATCGTGAATTTGATTTCCTCAAATCATTTTCAAATGATTCATTTCATGTAAAGTGAGTTGTCGTGGTTTGGGTTTTGAGAAATTGGTCCATTTCATCTAAATTGTCCAATTTAAGTGTTTAGAGCTGTTCCTGGAATTCCTCCATGCCCTTTACAATTTTTGTTATTATTAATTGGGTCTTAATACATATATCTCATCATTCTGTAATTCCATCGTGTCAAGCAGAATTGTACCATTGCTTCCACAATCCGTTTCCAAACATACTTTTTCTTCCTGGACTTCTTGACATCGTCTCCCTTTTATCCTCCACCACCACCACTGTGCCACTGCCTTCTGATGTCTTTAGCATCTGCAATGATACCAGGCATTTTATTTCTGATGTTGCTAATCCAGAGCTGCTTTTCTGTTGGTCAGTCTTGCTAGAGGTCCATCAAATATCTTGATCTTTTCAAAGAACCCGCTCTTGGTTTCATTGATTTCTTTCCGTTATTTTTCTGTTTTCGACTTCATTAATTTCTGTACTTTATTAAATCTTTCTGCTTGGTTAGGGTTTATTTTGCTCTTCTAGTTTTTACAGGAAGAGGCTTAGCTGATCAATTAGTAACTCTCCCTTCCTGTGTAATGTGTACAATTAGCACTATACATTTCCAGCTCAGTAGCCTTTGAGCTATGTCCAACAAATCCATTGTCTTTTCATTTTATTCCATTCGATATGTTTTTAAACTCACCCTTGAGAATGCCTGTTTGACTCACGGATTATTTACGAGCGTATCGGTCTGCTTTCTTGTAGCATCCATGATTCCCAATGAGTCATCTGCTGTCGTTCATATTGTTTTCCCTCTGTTGTTTTTTGCTGGTAGGTGCTGGTGAGTCAGTTCCGACTCACAGTGACCCTGCGTACAACAGCGCGAGACACCACCTGGCCCTGCGCCTCCCTCGCAGTGGTTCTTGTGCTTGAGCCCATTGTTGCAGCCACGGTGTCAGTTCATCTTGTTGAGGGTCTTCCTCTTTCTCTCTGCCCCTCTATTTTACCCAGCACGCTGTCCTTCTCCAGGGACTGGTCCCTCCTGACATGTTCCAGATACACGAGACAAAGTCTTTCCATCCTTGCCTCTGAGGAGCATTCTGGCTGTACGTCTTCCAAAACAGATATGATTGTTCTGTTGGCAATCCATGGTACTTGCAGTATTCTTTGCCAGCACAATGCAAATGCATCCATTTTTCTCCAGTCTTGCTTATTCAGTGTCCAACTTTCATGTGCATCTGAGGCAACTGAAAATACCCTGGGGCTTAGGTCAGATGCACCTTAGTCCCCAAAGTAAGCTCCTTGCTTTTCAACACTTTAAAGAGGTGCTGTATAGCAGATTTACCCAATGTAACACGCTGTTTTCATCACTGGACTGATGCTTCTGTGAACATTGATTGTGGATCCAAGCAAGAAACGAAATCCTTGACAACTTTACTTTCTTTCCCTCCATTTGTTATGAGATTACCTATAGATTCATTTGGGCAAATTTTGGTCTAGGTAAACCCCAGCCCAGACCCACTGCCATTGAGTAGATTGTGAAACATGGAGAATCCTCTGTAAGGTTTCTGAGACTGTGTATCTTTATGAGAGCAGGCAGCCTCATCTTTCTGCTGACGAGTGGCTGGTGGCTTTGACCAGCTACTCTTAAGGTTAGCAGCCCAGTGCTTACTGGGGTCTTCCTCTAGGGCAGGTGTTGTCTTTTTGCCTTTACTTTTCAGAAGTGGAATCAGGATGTGCCTTGCCAGGGACTCTTGGGCTTATCCTGTTTGAGGCCTGCTCTGCTTCTTGAGTCTGTTAGCTTATGCGTCTTGCCAAATTCAGGACGTTTTCTAGTATTTTATCCAGCACTTTTTCAATGCATGCTCTTTCTCTTCTAGGATGCCAATGGCAAAGATATTGGAGCTTTTGCTATAGTTCCTCGGGTCTGAGGTTCTGGTCATTTCCCCTATCTATTTTGTTGTTGGTAAGATCTATCTGTTGTTGAGGCTGGGGAATTATCTGTTGTTCTTGTGGGGTTTGCTGAGTCTCTCCCCTCTCGTGGCTATGTTAAGAATAGACCAGGCAGAAGCTGTCCGGAGTAGAGTCAGCGACACCAGCAAGGAGGCCGGGCCGTAATTGAGGACAGTAATGGTGGAGGTGGTGAGAAATATGCAGATTCAGGAGTAGATTTTGTAGGAAAAATAAGTTTGAGGGAGGATTGGATATGGAGAGAAAATTAGAGGAGACGGGAAGGACTACAAAGGTTTTGCCTGAGCCACTAAAAGAATAAAGCTGTTGTAAGCTGAGATGGACAGGGGTCCTCAAACTGTTTAAACAGGGGGCCAGTTCACTGTCCCTCAGACCCGTTGGAGGGCCGGACTATAGTTTCAAAAAAAGTGTGAACAAATTCCTGTGCACACTGCACAAATCTTATTTTGAAGTAAAAAACAAAACGGGGCAAAAACACCCGGCGGGCCAGATAAATGTCCTCGGGGGACTGCATGTGGCCCGCAGGCCCTAGTTTGAGGGTGCCTGGATAAGACTTTGGGAGGGCCAGAATTGGGAGGAAGGCCCTGGGTGTGTATTGCACACATTAAATGTGAGATGCTGAACAAGTGTAGCATAGAGCTTCTGTCTCCTTGATGTTTCTCCTTGACGTGGACAGCTAAGTAAACGAGGTAAGGTCCAGTCAGAGAGAGGCATTTGAACATTGTTAACATATAACTGATATTTGAAGACTTAGATTAGTTGAAATCACCAAGTGAGTCAAAAGAGGGCTATGGGAACAGACGAGAGCAAGGACCGAGTGGGACACTGTGCCACAGCAAGCGGAGGGAGATACGGAGCAAGCAGCCAAGAGACAGAGCTGCCAGGAGGTGGCTGGACAGTGGAGAGAGAGCTCCGCTAGCCTGGAAGCCCAGGGAAGAGAGTGTCAAGCACGAAGGAATGATTAACTGGCGTCAAAAGCATAAGCTGAGGCCATTAGGTCTAACAGCATGCAAGAAAGGGTACTCAAACAGAACCTTTCAAATATAACGGTTCCCTGAAAGAGAGGATAATTGTACAAAAAGGGTCATTTAAGACTGTTGAAATTAATCTGAGAAAGATGCAAAGATGGGTGAGCCCAGACTTAGGGAACTGTACTTTAAGCTTTTGTGGAACAGATTGAGGCCATAGTTATTCATTCATTCATTCATTCATTCATTCATTTATTCAGCAGTTATTCCAAGTGTACAAGTTCCCTTCAAAAAGTTCACAGAAGAAATCCCATTATATTTTAATCTCATTTTTCCACAAACTTTTTGAGGCTGACTTGTACTTCCAGTAGCCCCACCACAAACTTACAGAGCCCTGGTGGTGCAGTGGTTACACATTGGACTGGAATCCACATGGTTGGCAGTTCAAAACCACCAGCAGCTCCTTGGGAAAAAGACTGGGCTTTCTACATGGGAACTCACAGTGAGTCAGCAATGACTCGATGGCAGTGAGTGACACCATGAACGTGGTTTGTGGTATGTGTTTGAAGTCAGTGACGTTTCAGTGGATGGGTGGCATTCAGTAATGTGGAGTAAAAGGGAGGGTGACATCCAGCCAAAGGGAGGGAGTGTGCTTTCAGGCCTGGCTCTTGGTCCCCCGGCTTGGACTGTCGGGACCTTTGGGAAATGACACGTTCTGAGCCTGAGGAGCCAGGCTACAGGGCCAGTTGGTGCAGGCCTGGCACATTGGCTGCAGAATTAGGCTTGTCCTTTTAGATTCTGGGAGCCTCTGAAGGTTTCTGCCCAGGGGAGTGTCATGCCAAACTGTGCCTTTAGAAGATGCATCTCATTAATCTTCTTGGTGAACCATTGCCTGTTAAAAGCAGTGGTATTGATGCATGCCTTTCTCCAGTGAAAAACTTGTGGTTTCTAAGTGAGAAACTGTGCTACCCTGTGTCACCATAAAAACCTCCCAGGCTAGCTGAGGGAGGGCCTGCCGGGAGGGACAGCAGAGAGGCTTCCAGAGGACTGCCCTGTGGTCTGAACGTTGCACAGGCTAAGAAGCAGAGGTGGGCATCCCAGGAAGACAGTAAAACTTGCTGGGGGTGGTGAATAGTATCACCCTCCCCCCTCCAAAAAAAAAGTCCTCTTTTAAAGACTCCTATTTCATTGACTTCTAGGTGGTGCTGAGTGGAGAACACACTTCCCGGCACACGCTTGACTTTTCAAATGTGGAATCCCAGACCTTCGTTGGTAAGTTTGTTTGATGTCATCTTACCACGTTATGCTATCGATTTGGCATTTGGAATGAAGGTCAAGGTAGTTATCTTTGGCAGGATCTCTGTAGCGGATACCGAGACTGGACCATGAAAGAGTTTATTGTCTATAGGCTGAAAGGACACAGGACAATCGAAAGCTCATTACAGATGTGTGTGTGTGTGTGTGTGTGTGTGTGTGTGTGTGTGTGTGTGTGTTGGGTGTGGGGGTGGCTGGTGTTGTAGGGGTAGATGACAAAAGGGAGGCTTGAGGGGAAGAACCTAGGGGTCCTGGGATTGGGTGGGGTTGGCTTCATGTTGAGGTGGAGCTTTTGCTGTGATTTAGGGAAGGGGCAGACTGAGGAATGTCCAGGGTGGGCAGAATAAAGCAGTTCAGGGGCTTGAGAAGACGTACAGTGTAAAGAAAGAATGGGTTCATCAGCAGACCCACAGCAGAAAAAGGCCCAAAGGAGTCATGGGAAGGACCTTTGGCACGGTCTGTTGGCCACTGGTTCTTATAGACCTGGGCCAGCAAACTTTTCCTGTAAAGGACCCGATGGTAAATGCATTCGGCTCTGTGGTTTCTTGTCACAGCTACCCGGATCGGCTGTGGTAGCATGGAAGCAACTGCAGATAGAAGGTACATGAATGGGCATGGCTGTGATCCAATAAAACTTTATTTGCAGAAAAAGGTGGTAGGCTGACAGGTAGTCTACAACAGTTGGGTCACTCGGTTCTAGACTTGTGCTGAGTGAGTTGAGGCCCTCAAATCCTTATTGTGCAGGAAGCCATTAGCGGTATTTTGGGCATGGACGTGAAACATTGTCTTAGAAATATTGATCTGCTAGTTGGGAAAGGGGCAAGGATCCCTGTTAAAGGTAACTGCTAATCCGGGTGTGAAGACATATGGCTAATGGTAGTTAAAACGGAAGCTAAAACCAATGAGAGAAATGCTAAAAGGGGAATCCTATGGGATTTGAGGTCTTAGACATTGAAGACAGGATTCAAAGAAGGTAGAAATTTGAACTTGGTGGTTCACAATGATGTCATTGGCAGAATTGTGGATATCGGGGGTGATTTGAAGCGTCTGTAGACAGCACTGCAGTCGAGGTGACCTGGGTTCATCCACAAGGAAAGGTCTGATACACTATTGGAAGTGCAGGGGCCTAGCGTGAGCTGAGAAGGCGAGGTCCAGAACCATGGGATTGAATCCGTTTTCCCCCGAGCCTTGGGGAATGCACCAACCCTGGGATGGGAGAGCCCCAGAGGCTGTGGAGGAGAGTCCAGGAAGAGAAAAGGCTGCGAGAGCAGAGACCAGGCCATAGGACCTGAGAGCAGTCTGCTGAATTTGTCACAGGATGGTTCCTGGTGGGCTTGAATACAGTCTCATGAGAGAGGAGCAAACCAGGTTGCATGGGGTCAGGATAGATTCGAAGAATACGGAATTTGGGCTATTAGTAATCATAGCGTGTTTAGGTAGTGAAAGAAGGGGACGACACAAGACACAGGCATTTGCATGTCACAATAGCCTCTTCTGGAACCTTGAGCCAGGCAGTGCATGCTGTGACCAGTTCTCAATTCCTTCATTGGAGCCAAGCTGTGTTTGCGAGCTTGTGTGTATATGGGCCTTGTGATTGCGTTTTTATGCCCCCTTGGGGTGTGGTATGCTTAGCTCTGCCACGACTTGTACCAGGGAATCTAGCCTACGTTTGGGCTCCTGCTCTGGGACGAGATAGAACCTGTTGGGGAAATGGCCACATTTGCATAATTTGAAAGGAGAACATGGGTGGACCGAGAGACCGACATGAAACGTCTTCCTGTGGCAACTGTACAAATCGGAGGTGGGGGTGGGGGTGGGGAGCGGATGTTAAAACAATTCCCCAAGCCGTTCAAGTAGATGTCAATTGGTGCTCCGGGTATTTCCATGCTAAGTTCTTTGATTTGCATGCTGAGTAATTTTGAACTTGGTTCGCGTAGTCAGCAGTTTGAGATCTAGGCACAAAAGCAACAAAATGTAACCAGTACAGAGCCCCGACGGAGTGAAAGTTCACATGCCAGTACTCTACAGACATGGCTTTAGTTCCTCAGTGCTACATAGCCGGTCACCTGGGGGTTGGCGTGTGCACATCTCAGCAGTGCGGGAGTCGAGCCATCAAGCCATCTAGCAACTTGGTCAAAGTTACAAAGGATCTGAACTCAGGTCTCACTCTTAACCGCTGACCTACGCCGCTCCCTGTTCCCTCCCTGACCCTCTTGCCATTTCCCCAGCTGATGCTGCCGACCAGTATGGCCCTTTTCCTGGAGGCAGCTGCCTTTGCCTTGGAGGGGATCGCCGGAAAGGACGGCATTTTCCAGTCTGAGCTCTGTGCAAACGCTCAGTGTAGGTTTCGCGGTTTCGTCTTCTCATTGCTCAAGTCTAACTGCAGGCTCCAGAGGCAGGCCCTATTTTGTCTTGCTTTCCCCCCACCTTCCTAGCACTGTTTTCTCAGGTGCCTTGGGACAAGATGCTTGGCCACTGGGTATCAGCCACCACTTCCGACACAGGCCAAGGTCTGTCGCACATTCCAGTAAGGGAGACAGACGGTAACAAATGCATGAGATGCGTTAGGCAGTACCAGGCAGTGGTACTGCGAGGTAAAATCAAGATCAGGGGGTGGAGAGGAATAGGCCCAGGATCTTAGTTAGTGTGGTCACAAGAGGCCTCCCTGAGAAGTGCAGGCAGACCATGGGCCTCATGGGGCAAAAACCATAATACAGCTCTCCGAGGTGACTAGAGATGGGTCGGCTCAGCTTCCACACTGCATCTTAACTCTTCTCCTTGGCAGAGGGGGCTCCTCTGGGCCTTCCTGGACGACTGCCTCCTGCTCCCCTCAGTCTCACACCTCAGTGCCCCAGCCACCTCAGGCAGTTCCTGTTTCTCTGGCCGTGCTGGAAGCTTTGGCCTTGGTCCCTTTCATGTCACCTCAAGAGAGATGATCACTACTCCATCCATCCTGAAGCACCCCAGATCTGCATAGCCAGCCAGCTCCCCCTCCCCAGGCACCTTCCTAGCCGCCTGCCCTACAGGCCCCTCAAACTCCGTCTCACCCCGCTGGTGTCACCAGACTTGGTAATGGGTTCTCCCCTCAGCCACTGCTCTCTCAGGAGGCAGCCGTGGCTCTTCCCAGTGGTCCTGCTCCATTGCTGCCATGTTCGGAAGAGCCCGTTTTTTTGTTATTTCAGCTTTTTCTTCTTCTCGCTCTGTGTCCACTTTGTTCCCAGCTAATTCTAGAAGGCAGTGTTTCCTTTTATTTGGAAAAGGCCCCCAAATGAAGGATTCATCATTTGGACCTCCCCACCCCCCTCAGCCTCTAATTTAGTGATTCTCAACCTTCCTAACGCCGCGACCCTTTAATATAGCTCCTCATGTGGTGATGACCCCCCAACCATAAATTTTCATTGCTACTTCATAACTGTAATTGTGCTACTGTTATGAATCGGGCAACCCCTGTGAAAGGGCATTTGATCCCCAAAGGGGTCACAACCCACAGGTTGAGAACCGCTGCTCTAATTGATCTTCCTCTGCCCATCACTTTTTTCTTTCCCTTCCTCCATCCCACCATTCCTATGCGCAGGATGTTGCTATTTCTGGTGAGTGATCTCGTCTTCCTTCTTCAGACTCCCCAAGGGCTCCTTGTTGCGCAGAGTAAGACAGAAACGCCTTTGATGAGCCCACAGTCTTCATAACCTGGCTTCTGGCCATTTCCCTAGTTTCACATTTTCCTGAATCCACACCGCTCATCTCCCTGCAGCTTCCCCAAAGCCATAGCCTCTTCCTGGCTTTGCCCGTGCTGGGTCTTCTCCTGGGAGCCCCTCTTCTCTTCCTCATCTGGTAACTCAGCTCAAATCTCTGCTCTCTGAACACCGTCCTGCCTCACCCTGCGCCCTCCCTGACCAGAGGTGACCTTCTTCCTGGCACCTAGAGCACCCTGTATTCCTCTCCGTGCAGCTGGTGATTTACTTCTCTGTTATGCTCATCCATTCGAGCTCTTTGAGGTGTGTACACACACACACACACACACACACACACACACACACACACACACACGATATATGCCCAGTGTCAGCACAGAGCACCCGGCTCAGGAAGCGTTTGTTGAAAGAGTAGGGATAGCAAAGCCTGTGTGTAAACCCAACAACAGATTTATAATTCCATCAGATGCATTTGAAACCAGAGGTTCACGGTGAGGTTTTGGTGGGTAGCCAGTCGTCTCAGCTTTGAGTGCACGCTAGGTTGTGCTGGGCCTGGGTTTGTGGTCCTATTGCCTCCCCCATTGCTCAAACATCACGGGTGGGACTTCTCTGTACATTTTTCCCTTTTCCGCCCACCTGTCCTTTTAAACTTTTGTTGTTGAGGGAAGAGTAAGTTGTCATTAAAGAATGAAAAATAGTTCATCAAGGATTGCTCAGAAATGAGACCCACCCAGCTTTGTCCTGGATGAATCCCAAATTTCCTAAATTAGCCAAAATAACGATTCTTGCCATCTGCTGTCCAACAGCCCTTGCCCCTTTAGGGCAGCTGAGGGTGGGTTCACGGGGAACCTTGTAAGCTACTTGGTGAACACTCCCAAACAGGAAGAGCCTCCACCCCAAGGCGTTTGATTCGGGACACTCGTCTTCGTGCTTGATGCAGCGACTTCATTTCCTGCTTCTGTCGCACAACTGGGAGGCTGTTTGAAAGCTGACCGCACTCGTGGAGGACTGCCGAGCAGAGAGCTGTTGTCTGACACAGAGGCGTCCTGCTGCTAGGCCTGTTTGCCCTCTCCTGGCACTGTGGAATAGGTGTTAGGCTGCTAACTGCAAGGTCAGCAGTTCAAATCCACCAGCCACTCTGGGAGGGGGGCAGCTGGTGGCTGTTGTCTGCTTCCGTAAAAATTTAGTCTCAGGACACCCAAGTGGCAGTCCTTTGCTCTGTAGGGTGGTGAGGTAGTTAGTCAGAATAGATGTGATGGCAGTGGG